GTACTACATCCACACCTGTTACTGTACTACATCCACACCTGTTACTGTACTACATTCACCCCTGTTACTGTACTACATCCACACCTGTTACTGTACTACATCCACACCTGTCAGGGTACTACATCCACACCTGCTAGGGGTACTACATCCACACCTGTTATTGTATTACATCCACACCTGTTACGGTACTACATCCACACCTGTTATTGTATTACATCCACACCTGTTAGGGTACTACATCCACACCTGTTAGGGGTACTACATCCACACCTGTTATTGTATTACATCCACACCTGTTACTGTACTACATCCACACCTGTTACTGTACTACATCCACACCTGTTAGGGGTACTACATCCACACCTGTTATTGTATTACATCCACACCTGTTACGGTACTACATCCACACCTGTTACTGTACTACATCCACACCTGCTAGGGGTACTACATCCACACCTGTTATTGTATTACATCCACACCTGTTACGGTACTACATCCACACCTGTTAGGGTACTACATCCACACCTGTTACGGTACTACATCCACACCTGTTACTGTACTACATCCACACCTGTTTACTGTACTACATCCACACCTGTTTACTGTACTACATCCACACCTGTTACTGTACCATGTCCACACCTGTTACTGTACTACATCCACACCTGTTACTGTACTACATCCACACCTGTTACTGTACTACATCCACACCTGTTACTGTACTACATCCCCACCTGTTACTGTACTACATCCACACCTGTTACTGTACTACATCCACCCCTGTTACTGTACTACATCCACACCTGTTACTGTACTACATCCACACCTGTCAGGTACTACATCCACACCTGCTAGGGGTACTACATCCACACCTGTTATTGTATTACATCCCACACCTGTTACGGTACTACATCCACACCTGTTACAGTACTACATCATCCCCCCTGTTACTGTACTACATCCACACCTGTTACTGTACTACATCCACACCTGTTACTGTACTACATCCACACCTGTTACTGTACTACATCCACACCTGTTACTGTACTACATCCACACCTGTTATTGTACTACATCCACACCTGTTACTGGTACTACATCCACACCTGTTACTGTACTACAATCCACACCTGTTATTGTACTACATCCACACCTGTTACTGTACTACATCCACCCCTGTTACTGTACTACATCCACACCTGTTACTGTACTACATCCACACCTGTTACTGTACCATGTCCACACCTGTTACTGTACTACATCCCTACCTGTTACTGTGCTTCATCCACCCCTGTTCTGTACTACATCCACACCTGTTGCTGTACTACATCCATACCTGTTTACTGTACTACATCCCCACCTGTTACTGTACTACATTCACACCTGTTGCTGTACTACATCCATACCTGTTACTGTGCTTCATCCACACCTGTTTACTGTACCATGTCCACACCTGTTACTGTACTGCATCCACACCTGTTGCTATACTACATCCACACCTGTTACTGTGCTTCATCCACACCTGTTACTGTACTACATCCACACCTGTTACTGTGCTTCATCAACACCTGTTACTGTACCATGTCCATACCTGTTACTGAACTACATCCACACCTGTTACTGTACTACATCCACCCCTGTTACTGTACCATGTCCACACCTGTTACTGTACTTCATCCACACCTGTTACTGAACTTCATCCATACCTGTTATTGCACTACATCCACACCTGATGCTGTACTGCATCCACACCCTTTACAGTACTACATCCACACCTGTTACGGTACTACATCCACATCTGTTATTGTACTAAATCCACACCTGTTATTGTACTACATCCACACCTGATGCTGTACTACATCCACACCTGATGCTGCACTTCATCCATACCTGTTATTGCACTACATCCACACCTGATGCTGTACTGCCTCCACACCTGTTACGGTACTACATCCACACCTGTTACGGTACTACATCCACACCTGTTAGGTACTACATCCACTCCTGTTAGGGTACTACATCCACACCTGTTATTGTACTACATCGACACCTGTTACGGTACTACATCCACACCTGTTACTGTACTACATCCACACCTGTTTACGGTACTACATCTACACCTGTTATTGTATTAAATCCACACCTGTTATTGTTCTACATCCCACACCTGTTACTGTACTACATCCACACCTGTTACTGTACTACATCCACACCTGTTACGGTACTACATCTACACCTGTTATTGTACTAAATCCACACCTGTTATTGTTCTACATCCACACCTGTTACTGTACTACATCCACACCATGTTACTGCACTACATCCACACCTGTTACTGTACTACATCTACACCTGTCAGTGCCGGGGAACTGAACACATGTGTGTATACATCATGGCCCCACCATGATGGTACCAGGCCCCACACCCAGCACAGGCCCCACACCCAGCACCAGGCCACACACCCAGCACCAGGCCACACACCCAGCACCAGGCCCCACACCCAGCACCAGGCCCAGCACCCAGCACCAGGCCCCACACCCAGCACCAGGCCCCACACCCCAGCACCAGGCCACACACACCACCAGCACCAGGCTCCACACCCAGCACCAGGCCACACACCCAGCACCAGGCCCCACACCCAGCACCAGGCTCCACACCCAGCACCAGGCCACACACCCAGCACCAGGCCCCACACCCAGCACCAGGCTCCACACCCAGCACCAGGCCACACACCCAGCACCAGGCCCCACACCCAGCACCAGGCTCCACACCCAGCACCAGGCCACACACCCAGCACCAGGCCCCACACCCAGCACCAGGCCCCACACCCAGCACCAGGCCACACCCAGCACCAGGCCACACCCACCCAGCACCACCCCCACCACCCCCACAGCACCAGGCTCCACACCCAGCACCAGGCCACACACCCAGCACCAGGCCCCACACCCCAGCACCAGCACTCCACACCCAGCACCAGGCCACACACCAGCACCAGGCCTCCACACCCAGCACCAGGCCACACACCCAGCACCAGCCCCACACCCAGCACCAGGCCTCCACACCCAGCACCAGCCACCACCCACCCAGGCACCAGGCCATGCACCAGGCCCACACCCAGCCCAACACCAGGCCACACACCCAGCACCAGGCCCCACACCCAGCACCAGGCTCCACACCCAGCACCAGGCCACACACCCAGCACCAGGCCCCACACCCAGCACCAGGCCCCACACCCAGCACCAGGCCACACACCCAGCACCAGGCCACACACCCCGCACCAGGCCCACACCCAGCACCAGGCCCCACACCCAGCACCAGGCCACACACCCAGCACCAGGCTCCACACCCAGCACCAGCCCCACACCCAGCACCAGGCCCCACACCCAGCACCAGGCCCACACCCAGCACCAGGCCCCACACCCAGCACCAGGCCCCACACCCAGCACCAGGCCCACACCCAGCACCAGCCCCACACCCAGCACCAGGCTCCACACCCAGCACCAGGCCTCACACACCCAGCACCAGGCCCCACACCCAGCACCAGGCCCCACACCCAGCACCATGCCCCACACCCAGCACCAGGCTCCACACCCAGCACCAGGCCCCACACCCAGCACTGCCCCACCAGGCCATCCACACCCAGCACCAGGCTCCACACCCAGCACCAGGCTCCACACCCAGCACCATGGCCCACACCCAGCACCAGGCCCCACACCCAGCACCAGGCTCCACACACCAGCACCAGGCCCCACACCCAGCACCAGGCACCACACCCAGCACCAGGCTCCACACCCAGCACCAGGCTCACACACCCAGCACCAGGCCCACCACCCACACCCAGCACCCCACACCCCAGCACCAGGGCCCCACACCCAGCACCAGGCCCCACACCCAGCACCAGGCCACACACCCAGCACCAGGCCCCACACCCAGCACCAGGCCCCACACCCAGCACCAGGCCACACACCCAGCACCAGGCCCCACACCCAGCACCAGGCCACACACCAGCACCAGGCCCCACCACACCCAGCACCAGGCCTCACACACCCCAGGCACCAGGCCACACCACCCAGCACCAGACCAGGCACACAGCCAGGCTCACCAGCCACACACCCAGCTCCCACCCCACACACCCAGCACCAGGCCTCACACCCAGCACCAGGCCCCACACCCAGCACCAGGCCACACACCAGCACCAGGCCCCACACCCAGCACCAGCCCCCCACACCCAGCTCCAGGCCCCACACCCAGCACCAGGCCTCACACCCATCACCAGGCCCCACACCCAGCACCAGGGCCACACACCCAGCACACAGCCCCACAACCCAGCACCAGGCCCATACCCAGCACCAGTCCCAAAAACCCCGCACCAGGCCTCCACACCCAGCACCAGCTCCACACACCAAGCACCAGGCCCCACCACCCCAGCACCAGGCCCACACCCAGCACCAGCAACAGGCACACCAGCACCAGGCCCCACACCCAGCACCAGGCTCCAGCACCCCGCCACCAGCCCCCACCCAGCACCAGCCCACACACCCAGCACCAGGCTCCACACCCAGCACCAGGCCCCACAC